AGATACCCTAAAAACATAGGAAGGCCTCGTGATACTGTGATGAATGAGAAAGGGCGATGGAACTAACCTTCGCTGAGTACCCACTATGCATCAGGCACATGTAGTACCTCACAAGATATTTATTATTCCTATTTTACAGATGCAGAAACTGTCACGTTTCCCCATCTGTCCGAGGCCATACACCCAGATTCAAAAACAAGGCTTTAAATATAAAATTCCTGTTGTTTCCATTACATTATAATGGCAAATACAAGGCATACATGCTCCCACTCCTTGTTTGTGTTTCCATCAACAACAGAACATATGTGTCTTCCCCCATTGATCTAGGTCTGCCACCTGCTTTTGTAAAAAAAAAAAAAAAGTTTTATTGGCACACAGCCATGCCTGATCATTTCCATACTGTCTATGGCTGCTTTTGTGCTACAACTGCAAAGCTGAGTAGTCACTACAGAGACTGTATCATTCACAAAACCTTAAATATTTACTCTCTGAGCCTTTAGAGTAGGAGTTTGCCAACCCCTGATCCAGACCCAGCCTCAGAATTGGATTTGGCAAGTTAAAAAAAGTCTATTACCTTCTAAGTCTTAGAATAGAATGATGGACAGATAACTACATGGATGGATGGATGGATGGATGGATGGATGGATGGATGGATGGATGGATGGATGGATGGATGGACAGGTAGACATATATTGGTAGTATAGCAAGTTTTGCTCCAAATACCAACGTTAAGTCACTTAGCTGGGAAACCCTGGGCAGATTAACCTTTCTTAGTTTCCTCGTCTGTAAAATGGGGATAATAACACAGTAATTATTATTCAGGGCTCTTCTGATTGCAAATGACAGAAACCCAACTCAAAACAGCTTAAGCAAAAAGTAAAATTTGTCACATCATAGCATAAGATCCATTGATGAGAAAATTTTGTTTGCTTCAGGTCTGGCTGGATACAGGAGTTCAAATGATGCTATCTCTATCTCTTAACTCAACTTCTCTCTAATTCTTTTTGTGTGGAAGTCTCATTCTCTCTGTCACAGATAGATGCTCTTCTGGTAGCACGAAATATGGCCATTGGAAGCCTCAAGTCTAAGTTTTTATAGTTAGTAATCTAAAACAGTTTCCCTCTTTCCCCCAGTATCCAAACATTAAATCTCATTAAAAGCTTTGACTGACTGTGCTTGAGACACATAGTCAGTTCTTCAACCTATCACAGTGGGCAGGAAAATGGGATACTGTGATCAGGGCACTATAGTTGCAGCCCCACCAAGACCACATGGAGTAGGAGTTTCCCAAAGGAACCATAAAATAGAGTATAGGAAAGTGGTCTACACAAAAAAAAAAAAAAAAACATAGCCCACAGAAAACTACTTCATAGAGTTGTCACGAGGTACTGAATTTAGAGCATTTAGCAAGGGGCCTGGCACTTAAGTATCAACAAATGTTAATTATTCCCATAAGTGATAGATGAATAAATAGAAAAGTGAATAAATGCATTAATAGATGGACAATGGTTGAACATATGGATGAATAAATGGAGATGAAGATGTGGAAATATAGATGAAAGGAAATATGGAAATGGAGGCATGAGCCGATGAAGAGACAAAGATGGGTGGACACATGGTCGGATGGATGGACGGATGGATGGATGGATCGATGGATGATCGATGGATGGATCGATGGACAGATGAGGCAGAAACATATGGGTCCACTGCGCCTTATGATTGTTCCGAGGGAATATGGGGGACTGGCTGGGTCTCATCTTTGCCACTCCTCCCGGCTACAGGGGTGTTAGGATCAGAGAGAAGAGGTAGAGATAATGAGAAACCTGGGGAAAGGGAAACACTCCTTACCCTGACCTCTAATCCTGAACCAAATCCTGACCCCCAGTCTTGAGACTGATGGTTCAAATGCCTCCAAGGGGGCAACACTGCAAAACTTCCCCTAAGGGTGACAGTATAAACCCCCCTTCCCTTGTCCAAACTGGTGACTACTGAGGTTCTCAGAACTGAAGCCAAAGAAGGGGAAACCAGGGCAGAGAGGCTAATGAGGAGAAGTATGAAAGGGAAAAAGGGTTTCTCCAAAAAGGAGGAACTAGTGGGGAGCATATCCAGAGAGAAGAAATTTCTGGACAAAAAAAATGAAAGCTTCTGGGGGCCGTAAATAGGGGACAGTTCCAGCCTCATACAGGCTCACACACACACACACACACACACACACTCCCAGACGCCTCACAGTCTTCCAAGGACTCCCTCACGCTCACTGTCACACTCTCCCCACTCAGTTTCACACACAGAGTCTCACACAGACTCCACACAAGCAGGCTCCTGCACACTCACACTCACACACACTTGCTGCTCCTGGAGAGTGCACCCATTTGTTCATCTCTGTCCATCTTCCATGTCCTCCTGAGTGACACTTCTCCTCTTGTCAGCCTGACTTTCTAGGTCTCCCTGGAGAGGCCGGGTAAGGGAGTAAAGTGGTAAGATGAGGGGCATAGGATTCAGGAAGTCTGTGAAGCTGGCTGTGAGTTCATGTCAACATCCAGATCCAAGTGTGCCTGTGAACCTGTAAGTGTACATCTGCCAAAAAGGGTGTGCTTGTGGTGATTGTGTGCCCTGTGTGAAGAGGGCATACCTGTGCATTGTGTGTACTCCTATGCAGTCTGTGTGTGTGCCTGTGTGGTGCAGGTATATCTGTGCCAGGTATAGTACCTGTGCATTCATTGTAGGTGCAACAATGCTGTGTGTGTGTACCTATGTGGTATGGGTGTCCCTGCGTCCTATGTGTGCACCTGTGTGACGTAAATGTGTCTATGCCCCAGGTGTTCCCATGTGTCATTACCTGGATGGGGCCTGAGGCCTAGGCTGTTCCTTACTCTACAGGCTGTCTCTTCTAGCCTGGGTTTCCCAGGAGGACAGTGCATGTGAGTTGTAGGGAGAGAGGAACATTAAAGCTATGGGACTGGATACAGGCGTCCTGAATTCCAGCCAAGGCTGTGGCTTTCCCACCTTAAGAGTCCCTCCAGCCCTAACACTAACACCCACCCCCCAGCTTTGAGTTGTGCCAGTGACTTTGAGTACTGCTGCCTCTTAGTGAACCAACGCCCAATTCCTGGGAACATTTTGGGTGCCTTTTGCTAGCTCCTTCTCAAAGATGGCTGCAGAGTACTGCTGTCCTGTGAGTGAGGGTGGAAACTGACAGGGCTTCTCCCCTTCTAATAACCTCATCATCATCTGGGCCTCCCCTCACCATCTTACTTCCCTTCTCCTTGAAGAGCCCCTTCCCACAAAAGGGCAACAGACTCCCACACATGGTCTCCAAACTCTAGCCTCACACCAACACCTTCCAGGTAGCTGGGTTCCAACACTCCATTCTCTCTGGCCTCTGATTCCAGGTTCACCACGCTGAGGAGTCACCATCTCTGTGCACCCCCAGACCAGCCCTGGGTGGACTACATCATTTGGAGACTGTAGAAGGTCTCTGCCAAGGCAAGCCTGGCCCTCCCTCCTCCCCAGCCCTGCCTCCTCCCTCCAAGTCCCCAGCCCATGACCCTGCTTCTCCTTCCTTCCCCAGAGCAAGAGCCACTGCAGTTAGCCCATTTCAGCCCCGAGGGAGCCCTGTGTCTGAATGACGGGATGTGAATCGCCATGGTCCTGGGGAACCAAGAGCCAGAAGGGAGGACAAGGTCTCCCACTCCTCTGCACCAGACCTGACCCAGCTGGGGCGGGGCCTAGAGTGTCAGTGTGAGCGTGTGAGTGAGAGGATGAGTGTGGCTGGAGCACAGGCTTCACGCCCAGACTGCAATGCTTCCAATAAAGCCCAACTGGCACCCACTGGATCTGTCTGTCTGCTGCCTGTATGTGGCTCAGGCAGGGGAAGAGGGTGAGATGGTGATAGACGGTAGGTGTATCCATTCTCCACACTTCAGCCAGAGTGAACTTTCACACCTCACTCATTTCTGGTCCTAGCCAACCAACTCTGGCCGTGGCCAGAATGTCAGTAATCTGGGGCAGCTGTCCCCAATCTCCCACCCTGGGCTGATTTCCCTTTCTCAGCTCTACTTCAGCACCCTCTACTTCCCCTAGCCCGCCTGCTATGTTTATTTTATCAATCTAATTGACTCTTTTGACCCTCATCTCCATTCCAGATGATAAGCTCCCTGAGGGAAGAGACTGTCTGTCTTCTTTACTACTGTATCCCCATGCCCAGCACAGTGCCGGGCATTTAATAGGGACTCAACAAATATTTGCTGATGGAATGACTATAGGGAAAAAAAATCACAGGGAGTTAGGACTCAGTTCAGAGAGAAAGGGCTGTGACTCTGGCCATTAAGTGACTTGGCCAAGGCCACTAGGCCAACAAGTGTTTCAATAGCCTGGCTAGTTCTAGACAGGGACCTCTCTGAGGACCTATTCCTCCTCGGCCCATACAAGAGGGATAGGGTAGGCAAGAAGGGCAATCAGTAGGGTGGAAGTCAGGGAGGAAAAGACGGAGGGGGGATCGGGAGAACAGTACTGGAAAGAGTCCGAAAGCTCTTTTCTCACTGCCTACTGCTGAGTTCTCGGCCTCCCAGGACGAAGCTCCAAAATCTGACTCCAGCCTGCGCCGGGTGTTTTAGTAATAAACCCCAACTCCGCCCCCTAAGTGACATGCCCAGGCTCCACCTCCGAGTGTGGCATTTTGACTCCGCCTCCCCTGTGTGAAATGATGACTCCGCCCCTTCTAGTTGTTGGTTCTGGCTCCACCCCTTCCGGGTGATAGGCAAGCCCCACCCCTAGTGCGCGTCGGGGTCCTTCTGACAGTAACAGTAACGGTCCGTTTCCGGGGTGGAGCCAGGGAGGGCGGGAGTTTAGACTGCGCCGGCCCCACAGCCCCCCCTCCAGGTGACGCCAGCCCCGAAAATCCTCACCCAAGGCCCCAATTCTCCCAGCCCTATTACCGTTAATCCCCTTGCCCTGACCCCCTAGAAACCCCAGGCCCCCGAGATGACCGATCTCCTAAACCTTTAACTTCTAGTGTCTCCCAAATCTTAAATCCCATACTGTCCCGATGTGGCAGTTAAGGTTTCCCGGGGGCACCTGCCTCAAATTGCTTGAGAACAAATTAGACTCGTCATGAGAATGACAGAGAAGGGGATCTGGGGTTGGAGAATCTTTGATCCAATGATGCTGATGCTCCCCAGGAGATGTTCGAAGGCCGGGACATGTCGGGACTGAAGAGATACGAAGTAGCGCTGGAGGCGGAGGAGGAGTAAGTGGAGGCGGGGTTCTCTGGGGGAGGGACCAGCCCCTCCAGGGTGGGAGAGGGCGCGCGTTCCCGGGGCGGGAGCGGGGCCCTAAGGAGGCGTGGGCTATGGAGGCATCCGCCCCTAAAGGGCGGGGTGGAGCCTTCAAAGGGAGCGAAGCGTCCGAGGAGCGGAGCCCCTGGAGTCGGCCCCGCCCCGCCCGGCCCGGCTCTGTCTTCTCTGCAGGATCTACTGGGGCTGCTTCTACTTTTTCCCCTGGCTGCGTATGTGGCGGAGGGATCGGAGGTGAGGGGTCTGCGACACCGCGGACGCACCCAGGGCATGGACGAGGCTCAGTCTCGGAGGACGGATCGGGGGGAAGCCGGGAGTCCCCGCCCCACCTCATGCCAGTGTCGGGTCGCCCCACAGCTCGGCTCACCCCCGGGAGCAGAAGTTGGAGCCTCTGCGGGGCCTGATGAGCTGTCTGTCAAGCGGCCTGGGCCCTGCTCCCCAGCCCTCGCGCCGCGGCCTCCCTCCCCGTACCCCGTCCGCTGCTGCCCAGCCAGCCCATGCATTAAAGATTTAAACCAAAGCCCACCGTACTTCCCTCCTGACTCTGCCGCCGCTGCCGCCATTTGAGCTGAGTCCTTCTCAACACAGACTCAGTTTCCTCCCTCCCTGTTAGGGTGCCCGCCCGTCTCTGTCAAGGACTCCGTTATTCCTGAGGGCCCCTCATCCGTGTCAGGCCTCCGTTACTATCAGTGACTGCCCTCCCCACCACACACACCCAGCACTGTGAGTGAACTAAACTGTCCTGGCCTGGTGTTCCTCCCAACCTTCTCCCCACACTGATGTTTTCCCACTCCTCAGCTCTCTGCTCCCACCTTCCTCCTGGCAGATTTACCACGGGTCTGAAGAATCTTCCCTTTCTAGGAGTGAATTGAAAGCATTTTAAGCCAAAAGTTGGAGGAAGTAGACTGAAAGTGAAACGGGGAAGATTCCTAGAAGCTGTCTGCCTCAGTCTGCCACAGGGGAGTGATTTGGGACTGTTGGGGGCCGTCCCTACAGTTAATATCCCAACTTTTGGCTCCTCCACTCTGACCCCAGGCTTAGAGATACTTGGCATCAGCCCACCTAGCAGTTCTTGATATCTCTCTGGGAGAGTCTGACGACCGCTGCTCCCTACCACCTCCTTCTGCCTTGTCACCTGATAAGCTTGGGATCCACTAGCTCCTAAAGTGATGAGGATCGGGGACTGCCAGGTGGGCCTGCTTTTGGTTAGGGACTGGCCCCAGTACCAGAAAGGGCACCAGAGGACTAAGTTTCTAGCTGGGGAGAAAGTTGACTTTCAGCCTGGGGATGCCCCTGACACAGCAGGTCATGGCTGGGGAGACCCCTCCTGAGGAGAAGACACGGCCTGGTCTTTGGAGAAACCAAAGTGGGGAGATGGGTACATACCCCGAAGAAATTGCTTCCTGTCTTCCCAGGCCTCTGGACTGATAGGTCCGGGAAAGACTACAAAATGTGTGACATACAGCTAGCTGATGGAGGTCTGTGACAAGATGATGGCATTTGAGTGATTTCCTCAATGGCTACACCCAAGCTCTGAGGCACAAGTCCAGATTGGAGGATGGGAGAGAGACCCTAAGGCCTCTGGGACTAGTAGTTCAAGGAGAGTGACCAGTGGGTTGTGGCCACCTTCAAGAAAGCACCTGAGCTCTGAGCCGTTGCCTCATAATGTTCACACCAAGGACGCCTTCAAATGTGGAGTGCTGTGTCCAGCCCTGGGCCCACACCTCACCAGGACACTGTCAGAAAACCTAAACTCCAGGGAAGGGCCTTCAAGCCTCACCCTGGGCAGGAGGAAGGAGAGGCTGGGGTTGTTCAGCCCGGAGGGGGACTAGTCCCTACTCCTGGGGCTGAAGTCCCTTCTGATTGTTGAAGCATCCCTGCAGCAAAAAGGGCTGCCTAGGGAAGTCGTGAATCCCCTTCCTAAGGCAAGTCTCACCTCCTAGAGGGTGGCTGGCGGCAGAACAGAGCGCTGCAAAAACAAAAAAACAAACCCATAGCTGTGGAGTCAATTCTGACTCGTAGCAACCCTACAAGACAGATTAGAACTGCCCCATAGGGTTTCCAAGGCTGTAATCTTTATGAGAGCAGACTGCTACATCTTTCTCCCGCGGAGCAGCTAGTGGGTTTGAACTGCTGAGCTTTCGGTTAGCAGCCAAGTGCTTAACCACTGCACCACCAGGGCTCCCTGAAGGCTGCAGGAGGCACCCCTGAAACTACCAGATAAGGACTCGATTACTGGATTATGACTCAGTTTCTGTTTCAAATATAGGGCAGGACGTACAGGTTGAAATCCCAAGGAGTGGGAAATCCTTCAAGGTGCCAGGGGTACTAAATACACTAGCACACCCCACCCCACCCCACCCCACCCCACCCTAGGCAGTTCCCAGCTTCCTGGAAAGGACAGGATGAGGAGGGGTAGGAGTTTTGTGTTGAGTGGAGTTATGGATTAAATTGTGTTCCCAAAAATGTGTTGTAAATCCTAACCCCTATACCTGTAGTTATAATCCCATTTGGGAATGGGTTTTCTTCATTATATTAATGAGGCAGGATTAGTGTAGGGTGTGCCTTAAATCAATCTCTTTTAAGATATAAAAGAGCAGATTAAACATGGACATAAGCAAGCAGAGATGGGGGAAGATAGATGCCATGCCACATGAAGATCACCATGATCTCCAAAGAATAGAAGCTGAAAAGAGATAAAGACCTTCCCCCAGAGCCCACAGAGAAAAAGCCTTTCTCCAGAGCCAGCATCCTGAATTTGGATTTCTAGCCTCCTAAATTGTGAGAAAATAAATTTATGTTTGTTAAAGCCACACATTTGTGGTATTTCTGTTATAGCAGCACTAGATAACTAAGACAGGCAGGAAGAGGGGATCCAGGGCTGGGTATGGGATTATGAGTGGAGGGACAAGAAGGAGGATGGGAGGCTGGGCACAGAATAGATGGGGCTATATCAGGAGGATGGGATGCGGAAGGTGTAGGGGTTGTCGATGGGGATATTATTGGACCCGGGTGATGAGGGGGGATGTTCCTCCAAGGCCCCTAGTAGAGAGGCTGGTATTTGAGTAGAACAAAAGGGAGGTAATTCAGCTCTTGAGTCTGATGTCTCAAACAAGCTGGGGACTGGGAACCCCTCCCCACAAGACAGGTTTTCATATGATGAAAACCCCAGGCTCCTGCTGGCAAGAGGCTGGCATTCCTGAAACAGGACTGGGCAAAACTGGAAAGGAAGATATCTTGGGCCTTTTACCTGTTTTGAAGGCAGCAGCCTGGCACCAAAGATCTTTTATCTTATTTGCTCTCTTATCCACTCCACCCTTCCTCCCTGTCTTATCTTTCTGGGGAAAGCAGCCACATTCATTCACTCTGAATGTGGCTGGGCCCAGCCAAGACCCCTTCTCATCCAGAAGGGCCTGCTTTGGGTACCCATTCTCCTGATAAGGAAGGCAGGCTAGGAAAGGAAGTGAGAGGGGAAGTTGAAGACACATTAGTGCTGGCCTGCTCCTTAACCTCCTCCATCAGACTCTTTGTGTGCTTGTATGATTGAGAGTGTGATTGGATGACTGTGAAAACACAACTGTGTGAGAGTGAGTATAACTGGGGCTGTATGACTTTGCCTGTGGTTGTCTGACCATGGGTGTGACTCTGTTGAGTGACCAAGGTGTGACTATGAATGTGTGGCTATGGGTTTATGAGTGTGAAAATCTATCATTGAATGGCACTGTGGATCCTTGGCTACCCTTACTCAGTCACTGTACCATCAGTTCCCAAAGCATGCACTACCTCTCTCCTCAGCTTCTCTGCCCAGGGCTTAGGAGCCTATGGGAAATGACAGTCCTAGAAGAGGAAGGGGGTCTGTGGCAACAGGCCAAGAATGAGTGCCCAGGAGCTATCACAGGATGAGCAGGGACGTTCCCACCTGCCTCTGACTCACCTGGTGCCCCAGATAAAAGGTAGGGGAGGAGAAGAACGAGAAGAAAGTATCCAGGCTGAGCAGCATGAAGGGGACCTTACCCACCAGCAGCCTCCTGCTGCTATTGCTGCTGAGCCCAGACCCTGGAGGAGGTGAGTGCTTGGGAGTCTAGAAGGCTCGGGGTCTGCGTGAGTGGGATAGAGGGAAAAAGGGGTCTAGGAAGTCCAGCTGTCTGGTGGGGGGGAGGCGGTTCTGGGTCAGGATGCCTCTGAACACAAGGCCCCACTGTCCTCTAGCATTGTTACTGCCACCCAGCACCACCTGCTGTACTCAGCTCTACCGACAGCCACTCCCGAACAAGCTGCTGAGGAAGGTCATCCGGGTGGAACTGCAGCAGGCTGATGGGGACTGTCACCTCCAGGCCTTTGTGTGAGCTCTGACCCCATCTCTGATACTGACTCCTGACTCTGATATCAGTCCCAACCCCTGATGCTGATCCCAACTCCAGCCCCAAATCCTAATTCTAATGCTGACTCAGGTTTTCATCTGGGCTTTGCCCCTAACCCCTGGACCCTAACCTCATCCCCAAGCCTTGACCATAGCTATGGACCTTTCCCTTCCCAGGCTTCACCTGGCTCAACGCAGCATCTGCATCCACCCCCAGAATCGCAGCCTGGCTCAGTGATTTGAGCCTCAAGGAAGGAGTCTCCTGGGAACTTTGCCCAACCTGAATTTTGGGCTGCTGGGGAAAAAGGGCTGAAGCCCCCAGCAATCAAAACAATAAAGCAGCATTGAACAACGGTCTCTGACTGTGATCTCCAAGTTCTATGTTTTCCAGTGAGCCCTGAATCTGGAGCTGGGAAATATATCAATAAACAGAACTTCCTCATTCTCTTTATTCACACCTCCACAACCCTATTGGGGGCACGACCAAGGGCCAAGGACCCCTAAACACTCCCCAGCACCTATATACATACATGCAGAAAACACATGTTCCCTGCTTCACATATACATGGTCACACATGGACAGACATACACATATACACACATGTCCCTCAGGCTGGACCTCCAGCTCTGGGATGAAATCAGGTCCAGACACTTGTCAGTTGGCAAATCTGGAATCCAGGGTCTCACAGAAATGGGCTCCAAAGAGAACTTCCAGCTTAGACTCCCCTCTCCTAGTGGGGATCTACTATCCTGCCTGGGGTTCTATCTGTCCGTCCATCCACACCCAGCAATACAGTTATACGTGGAATCAGCTGAAACCCTCCTGGGTCCTCTATAGGTTTGGGGCTGCTAGAAGAAACAGGAGGTAAATCAGGAGAGGGAGTAGGACTGGATCTTGGCCCAGATATCCTGAGAATGAGGCAGGGGACCCAGCTCTGATCCAAGACACCTGAGAATAAGGATGACTATTCAGCTCTGAGCCTAACACCCTGAAAATGAGGATGAATACCCAGCTCTCAGCCTAACACCCTAAGAATGAGGAGAGGGGTCCAGCTATGAGCCCCAGTATCCTGAGAGAGAGAGAAGAGACCCAACTCCGAACCTAGGGACTGAAGAATGAAAAGCCCAGCCCTGAGTCCAGACATCACAAGAATGACAAGGAGACCCAACTCTGATGCCTACCACCCTGAGGATGACTAGGGCAGCAAGCTGTTAATCCAGACGCTCTCAAAATGGAGGCACACATGTCTGAGCTCAAACCCTCTGGAGGTCCTACTCACTTGTACGCTTGTCCACTGTAATGATCGGGCCCAAGAATCCACGGTTTGCAGATCCACCCTTCTGACCCAGTCTCAGTCTCAGCCTGGGACATAAAAAGGCAGCTGTCTCCCTGACAATGTGAGGCATCTCACTCCTTCAAAAGGGTTTGTTAGTAAAGGGTCAGGAGAGGAATCTGTGAGAATCACAAAGTTGGGGGCAGAAGGAGTAGTTCCAGAATCAGACAGGTTCAGTGGGAGGTTAGTGGGAAGTCCCGAGAGGTGGGAATGGGGGTGGTCTGTGGGCATCAGATCATCCATGGGGATCAGATGCTAAGGGGCCAAAGGTAGACACTTACCAGAGCCCCAGTACCAGCGCCCCAGCCGCTAGTCCCAGGAAAGAGAGGATTCCCAATGACATCAGCATGGCTACCTGCTCCAGGGGGACCCTATGGTCTAAGGGGGAACACCACACGCAAATGTGAGATTAAGCCTGCCTAAGCTCAGTGCCTTCTTCTCTCTGGGGCTTCCCTCTGCCCATCTGCCCAAGCTTACCAAGTGGCCGTGGGCCCGGCTGGAGGGAGAGCCTTGGGGGAGCGAGGTTGCCTGCCTGCATCTGCACCTCCGGCTTCGAATGTGGCTGGTCCCCATCTGGTGGCTGGCCCCCAGCTAGTATCTCCTTTGGTAGGGGCCCTGAAGGGAGGCCAGACCTGAGAAGTGTCCATGTGCAGTGGGGGTGGGGGCCAGGTCCTGCTAGGCGAGGTTAGGACCTGGATTGGACATAGGGGTGCCTTGGAGGGGAGCATGTAAAAGGCAAGGGCCAGCTTCTGGGGACATAGCTTGTAAAGGTAGTGCTAGGAATTGTAGGGGAGGAGGCTGAAGGGCAGGGCTTAAACTAGGGCAGGGCTGCAGACATCCAAGTCTGAAGCCTGGGACTGCAACTGCCATGCCTGTGTGGATGGGGCATGTGCGACAGGTCCTACTTACACGAAGTAGTAGTGGGCCAGCTGATAGATGCTGTGGGGTGGGTCCTCTGCCCTTTACCTGGGCTTTGTCTCTCACCAGTGCTCGGAGTCCCCCAGGCCTCAGGACTCCAGGCGCTCCAGGTGCCAGCATCCAGAAAGTCCCGGGCACTGACCTGCACTATGTGGGGCAGCCCAGCTATAGCGTCTGTGATCACCTCTTCCAACCCAACTGGCTCCACCTGGGGGTAAAGATGGTAGTGGGCGCACTATTTAGGTTTTAAGTGCAGAGCCTACTGGCCTCCCAACCCCAGTCTGCAAAGAGCTCCACTTCTTCTCTGGGCTTCATGTGAAGTGGCTGGTGGGATCAGGTCTACACCTAGTGCTGGGAAGACAGTATTGTATAGTGGTCACGTAGGCTGTGGCGTCAGACTGCCTGGATTCAAATCATTCCTGTACCACTTACTGAGTAACCTTAGGCCTCTCTATGCTTCAGTTTCTTAATTTATAAAATAGCGGTAAATTTACTTAAACGAGCTTGGCTGCTAACCAAAAGGTCGGCAGTTCAAATCCACCAGCCGCTCCTTGGAAACCCTATCGGGCAGTTCTACTCTGTCTACAGGGTTGCTTGCGTTGGAATCAACTCTACAGCAACAGGCTTTGTTTTGTTTTGGTGGAGGTGTTTATACATAAACACAGGGACAAATTACCCGATAAGCAAGGTACCCACGGGCTTATTTGTGCTTATTTACTAATCCGGAGTACAAAATTTTACCTGTTTTTTTTTTTCACATCTTTGATGTGGTGAAACATGTTTTAAAAAATATCCTTTCTTACTGTAAACCCATGCCTACCTTGCTTACTGGTTAATCTGCCCCTGCCTAAATGAGATAATGCACGTAAAACTGTAGTTTGGTGCCTGGCAGGCAGGTAATTATCTGAGGCAGCCCCTCCGCATACCTGACACCAGCCAATCTTTGACATCTCCAGAGATAGGAATTCACTACCACCCTCAGCTAGGCATATGAGTGTTTGTTTAGGAATGTGCCTTGGGGTGAAAGTCACTCCTTCATTTTCCTAGGTTATATTTTAAAAAAGTCACTGCTGTCTTCCCACAGATGGGCATGCATCATGGTTACAGCCCTGCAGGGCAGAGGCTCCATCTGTCGGTCTGTAGGTTCCCTCTGTGACCCCAGCACCGTGCACAGACCTTGGCCCACCAGGTGCACTCTGGAGAGAGAGGCAACAGGGCCTCCACGACCTGACAGGCGAGGGAAGCCATGCAGGGCACCCACGGACATGAAACCAGAGATAAGACCCATAAGCCTGAGTTGGGATGCACTCCAAGCCTCACCATGGACCAGACTGGATGCTGCACTGGGCGGTACTGCAGCCGGAACTTGAGCAGAAAGTGGGGCTGGTGGGGCCAAGATGCGGGGTACTTCCAGCTGGCATGCAGGCGGCGGGGGTAACCGGGTATTGGCTCCACTTGCAACCCCTGAGGTGGGTCAGGGCGCACTGAGGGCGGTTGAGAAGCAAAGTCAGGGCAGGCGACAGGACCCTCCCTTCCCCACCACTTCCCAGCGGGAGGAGACTATGTGTTTAAAGGCACCTGAGTGAGGTGCTTCCAAGCTGGCAGGGGAAACCTTAAACTTGATCATCCATTGAGCTCAGGACCTATCTGTCATTCATATTATAAAATGAGATGAGATGGGGGGGGGGCTTTGAAATGTTTGTTGAATAAATACAAAGAAGATTCTGCTTTCCATCCAAGGAAGAAGAGTTGCCTCAAATTCCAGCCAGAGCTTTAATGCCCCTTCTCCCATGCACAGACCAAGAGGAAGGAGTGTAGCAGGGGCTTCCACTGGGCAGGGAGAACTTGAGATATGGCTGCCTTTAGTACAGGGCCTAGAAGCAGGGAGCCAGGATTCGTGGGAAGGCTCAGTAGTGTGTGCTGAGGTAACCCTGTTTCCTGGGCTCTGATCCCTTTGGCTTCTTAGTTGCCACAGGGTCGTTTGTGGTGGTGGGGGCGGGGGGCTTCATTCAGGACATTCTATATGCTGAAAGGGGGTCTGTGTTGGAAGGGAGCTGTTTGGGAGCTCTGTGGAGGGGTCTGTATTGGGGCATCTGGAGTCAGTCTGCAGGTTCTGTGCCCGGGATCTGGGAGAGGTCTAGGGTGGGCACTCACAGATGCTTTGCAAGCTCACATCCAGCAGGCGTGTGCTGGCCCCCAGAGGGTTCACCTCAGTCACATTGATCCGGTACTGGCTCCAGAACTCTGCCCCATGGACCACACAGCGGGCAGCCCCTGGGGGTTCCTGTGGGCATAGCCAGGGCCCAGTGGCTGAATGTATCCTAAGAGGGAGGATGTGGTCTTGGGCTTTGGAAATGCCCACTGTAGGACCCAGCTGGAGGCCCCAGTCTCTCCCTCATATCCTACCTCTGGTCATCAGCCCCTGGCAATGTCTTCTTCCTGGTGGGGGAAGGGGGCAATCTGAAGTCAGGAAGGAAAAGAGAGCCCCCCAGGCCTTCCTCAGGACCTTCCTCCCTACCTCCCATACCCACCTTGTGCTGGCACACCCAAATGTACAGACACACATACCCAATCATGTACACACCTGTAGGAGGTAAGGTAGCGGGTGGGTAGACTGCTGACCTGGCCCTGACTCCAAGTGCAGGAGAAGTTCTCATAGTCAGCTGCTTGGCAGGAGACAACAGGGCGGGCTGGAGGGTCTAGAGGCAGAGTGCAGCTGGAGGCCAAGCAGTCCCCAGTACCTCCCCATCCCAGAGGACTCACTCAGGGCCTGGGTTCCCTCAGGAGTCTTATGTCTCATCACTGCCCCCCAGTACACCCTCCCCAACTCACAGCCCAGCCGCAGGGTCACCGTGCCTCCAACAGCACCATCCAGGGTCCGGCAGATGTAGATGCCCTCGTCAGTGCTGTCTGCTCGAGACAGGACTAGTTGGTGCACTTGCCCAGAGTCAGGTCCCTGGAGCAGCCTTGGCTCTCCGTCCCGAAACCAGGACACTGGGGACCTGGGGGTGGGATGAGGTGAGGATGAACCAAAACCAAATCTATTGTCGTCAAGTTGATTCCGACTCATAGCGACCCTATAGGACAGGGTAGAACTGCCCCATAGGGTTTCCAAGGCTGTAATCTTTATGGAAGCAGACTGTCACATCTCTCTCCCATGGAGCAGCTAGTGGGTTCAAACCACCAACCTTTAGGTTAGCAGCCAAGTGCTTAGCCACTGCACCACCAGGGCTCCTTGAGGATGGACAGAGGGAAGATTTAAAGTGTAAGACAGATATACCACAGTTCTCCATTGGCTTCTCATTGCATTTTCAATAAAATTCAAACTCCTTTACGCAACTTTCAAAGCCCATTGTGATCTAGCCCCTCCCATCCTCTAATTTTTCAGCTCCTACCTCTCTCCCCCTCATCCACTGCACTGCAGCCACTTTCGGCCTGTTCCTCAGGAGTGCTGAGCTCATTCCCACCTCAGGACATTTGCACTAGCTGTTTCTTCTGTAGGAAAACTAATAACCCAGTCTGTGCATGGCTGCCCCTTCCTGAAATTCAGAAACCAATTTCAATGTCACCTCCTCAGAGAGGCCATTCCTGATCAGCAATAAAAAGTAACTACTCATGTGTCTGGGGTCTTAAAAGCTAGTGAGTGGCCATCTAAGGTGCATCAGTTGGTCCCAATCCACCTGGAGTAAAGGAGAATGAAGAACACCAAAGACACAAGGAAAGTATTAGCCCAAAAGACAGAAAGGGCCACATAAACCAGAGACTGCATCATCCTGAGACCAGAAGAACTAGATGGTGCCTGGCTACCACCAATGACCGTCCTGACAGGGAACACAACAGAGAGTCCCTGACGGAGCAGGAGAAAAGTATGGTATAGAACTCAAATTCTAGTAAAAAGACCAGACTTAATGGTTTGACTGAGACTGGAGAGACCCCAGAAGACACAGCCCCCAGACTCTCTGTTAGCCCAAAACTAAAACCATTCCTGAGACCAATTCTTCACAGAAAGATTAGACCACACTATGGAACATAAGATGATACTTGTGAAGAGTGTGCTTCTTAGCTCAAGTAGATACATGACACTAAATGAGCAGCTCCTGTCCGGAGGTGAGATGAGAAGGCAGAGACGGTCAGAAGCTGGTTGAATGGACACAGGAAATCAGGGGTGGAAAGGAGGAGTGTGCTGTCACAGTATACGGAGAGCAATTAGGGTCACATAACAAGGTACGTAAAAATTTTTGTATGAGAGACTAAGTTGAATTATAAACTTTCACTTAAAATACAATAATAAAATTAAAAAAAAAAAGTAACCACTCAGTTATCCTCTTCCACATTGCTCTGAACGTATCACTCCCAGACAAGACTCCCGTGTGCTTATTGCCTGTCTTCCCTACTAGGATGTAAACTCTCTGAGGGCAGGGGCCTCTCCTGGCTTGTGCACTGCTGTATCCCCAGAGCCTAGAATAGACCAGCCACTTAGGAGGTGCTCAATACGTACTGGTTGACTGTTATGTTGAGTAAGGATAGGGGAAGAGGGTTAGGACAGATAGAGGAGTGAGATTACAGAAGGAGGGGGCAAGAACAGGAGAGGCCATAAGGTCTGGGCAGGGTCAAGAAAGGGCCCTGACTGTCAGATCAACAGTCAGGAGGAGCACTTACCCAGCAGTCACTCCAGGGCAACACAGCATCACAGACCTGCCAAGCTGCCCATACTGGACCCCTGTGGAAGGCATGTTTGAAGTGAGCCTCTTCCCCCATCACCACTCACTTTGTCAGAGTGACAGGGTAAACGGTGGACTCTTGAGCCCTGGGAAGGATTGTTAGGTTAAAGCATCATGTTATAACCAGGAGAGGTCAGAGAGGGGCCTCAGATTAGGTTTCAGGGGTTGGGGGTCACAGGTTAGGCATGGGAAGGGGCCACAGGGCAAGTGGTAAGTCACAAGTCAGAGTTGGGGTCATAGAGCAGGGCTCCTCTCACCTGGGGGGCCCCAGGCCTGGGGGCAGGGGGAAGAGACAGATACCAGGGCTGTAGCCACGGCCACCAGGACCCTGCTAAGCCCTGAGCAGCTGCTGCTCATCTGTGGGGAGAGAGGCAGGGTCAGGGGTCGCTCATCCCCAAGACAGAAAGCTAAATCCTAGCTCTTCTTCCCCAAAATCGGGGCTTCTAGGAGGAAAACTGAGGCACTAAGTGGGGTAAGGATATCAGAAATCATTGCAGGAGGTGATCCTGGGCTCTGATTTGAGGTCCCCCTTCCCACTTTCAGTGCTGAGAGTGCACGCACACAATCACGCACGTGCACACACACACACACTCCATCTCAGTCCTGGGCTTAGGGCCCAGAACAAAAGCCGGAGGCGACAGATTGTGCCAGCAACACCCCCTCCCCCACCACCCTTGGCGCCTACCCCTGGCACTAAGTGCAGGCACCCACTCGGCCACTCCCGTTAACCCCTCCAGTTCAGCTGTTGGGAATCCTGATGTCCATCTCCACCTGGCCCAGGGCTAAGTCACTGTCTCTGACCAACATGGGGCAGCCCTCACCACCCTGGGGTGCAAGGCTGTCATGATGAGTCTGGGCCCACCCTGTACTCCTGCCATGAGGCCTAGCCTGCTCCTGGCTGCCAAGCCTCTCGCCTGGGCCTGGCTACCTGCTCTGGCTACTCAGGCCACTCCACTGGGCCTGGCTCTGAAATCCTGTTGGTCTCCAGCCTGTGAAGCTGGATGGGGCTAGGGTGCAGGCTGAGGCTGCAGAGTTAAGCAGATCCAGATGCTGCTGCCAGAGGCTGGGGGCGGGAGAGGAGCCAGCAGATGGAGACAGGATGGCGGGTGGGGAGGGAAGGCTGAGTGAGATGAGCTGAAAGCCAGCAGGAACAGGGGCCCAGGGGTGGGGGCCACAGGACCAAGAAACACTCAGAGATCAAAAACAGTAGGCATGGGGGCTCAGTGAGGTGAGGGCTGGGCTGCGGACTGCAGGAATGCAGGCAGAAAAGGAGATAACAGTCACGGAAGGGGGTTGCAGGGAGAGAGAGATTCTGGACCCTGGAAAGCAGGAGGAGGAAGGCAGTGGGGAAGTAGCCATGAGGACAGGAGAAGACAGATGAGGAGAGGGCTCTGGGCAAGGGCGCCAGAGAAGGAAGAGCCTGGCCTCTCCCAAGTATAGCAAAGCCTGGCCTCCATGTGTCTGTGTGTCTGTCCAAATGTGTCTAGTGGCTCACCCCTGGCACCCCCCCAACAGCCACATTTACCCTGTGCAGCCCCACCCTACCTCGGTGATCCCAGTGACTGAGCGTCCATGGCTTCCAGGACCTCCTCCCGCCAGCTGCAGCACAGTCTTCAGCTCCACTCAGTTCTGGGACCCCAGAACCGCCCCTCCTTCCCCTTCCCCGCCCCTCTGGGCCCCGATGCTCAGCCACCCCTAGCCAGGCCCCTTCCCCCCTTCTTCCTCCTCTCGTCCCACCCGAGGCCCTGGGAAGGTAAGAGGCCTCCACCTAGTCTGGAAAGGAAGCGACAGATGCTGCCAGGGCCAGCAAGAAGGAGAGGAGGGTTGCTTATGTCCCTGTCAGGGAAAGACTCCCTGTATTTTTACATAGCCTAACACAGCCAGGCACTCATGGACTCACTGAGACACACTCAGCAAACAAGACACTCCCTTGAACACACGTGGACATACTCAAAGGAAAAATCAGACACATTCACACACTCATGCTGCACTTTTCACTTCCCAGCAAATGTTTCCTTAGGGTACAGCTGACTGTGTTGTGAAGTGGGAGGGAGTACCCCCAGGTTGGAGAATATGAGAAGAGGCCACAGACCAGTTTCCCCTCCCCTGGAAGTTCCAGCCATTTCCCACTTCCCTGTCCAATCTTTGGGCCCCAGCACCAGGAAATGCCTTTGGCTCCTTGGTGCCAGATACACAAAACCTACACTCACCCTCAGACACGTACTCCCAGATATAGCTACTCACAGTCACACTGATACACTCACTTACATTTACATACACCCATATGCTCACAGACACATACACCTTATTCTTCCTCACACAGTCACACATACACACACACACACACACACACACACACGTAGCATTCTGCCCCTGGGATGGGTCACGGCACTCCCTAAAAGGAACATTTCACCATGGTTTAAGCCCCTTCTTCCAGGGAGCTCTTGACAATGGCAGATCCTCATCTCATCACTGTTACGGCCCCCAGGAAACCAAAGAGACAGAGAGATAAACAGGGGAGTCAAGCGCAGGGACACAGAGAGACAAATACCATGAGACAGAACTAGAAAAGCAGATATACCTGGGGAGACAAAACTGTGAAGAGACACAGAGAGAAATGCACAATTCTAAGATCATAGCAAGGAAAGAGAGAGAAATATAAGGGAACTCATGCAGGCAGAGAGACTTGGAAAAGAAGGAGCAGGAGACCAGTGACAGGGATTCTCGAGCAGAGGAAGGAGAGGCCAAGCATGTTGGGGTTGGGCCCATCTATGCTGGACACTAAGTAGAAAGGTCAGTCTCATTCGCTATCGAAATGGGTCCCCAAAATGTGAACACAACTGCATTCCCATGCAGTCTAACAGTTAGGACACAAGACGCACACATAGTCGTAAGCTTCCCTCTTGCTCTGCTACTGCTGAAGTCACCCACTGGCACACACAAACCCAGCCACCCACTCTTACATTGGCAGACACATTCTTAAACCCCAAAGACCTTCCCAAGACACATGCACTGATGTGGTCACAGTCCCTTGTACACACAAACACACAGCCCAATCTCTGACCAAACTCTGCACATTGATAATACACACATAATCCCACACTTGCACAGCCACACATTCACACTAGCTGACAGTTGCACCAACTGACAGAGTCTCACACACTGACCTTGTCACACGCAAATACAGCCTCACAGACACACAGACATACACACTGACAGCCACTCCAGGCCCTTCAACCCATTCACCACACCGCCCCGCCCCCTCCTGGCAAGGCTTGGCCGTCTACACCCACGCCCGCCCCACCAGGCCTCACCTTCCGCGGCCGCCGCCGCCTGCGCCCTCCGCCCTCGCCCTCGCCCTCTGCCCTGGTCTCCACTCCCTCCCGCCCTCAGCCCCCCACCACCACCCTCAGTGGGGGCGGCTCCGCCCAGGCGCCAATGGAAAGAGAGGGGTGAAATAGGGGGGGCTCCCGGCCCATTGGAGCCTTCAACTGCCAATCACCTCCACCCCCGCCTCTGCCGGACACTTCCTGTCCCGTCCCGGACTGAGGAGGCTGCTGGGGACAGTCTGGAGCTGGATTCCTGGGTCCCCGTCTGAAGGCCTGTTCTCCCAGGGACAGCAGGACTCGAAGTCTGCAGGTTCCTCCAGGTCCCTCCCACTCCAGCTGGAAAAGCTGAAGGTGCCCCTGACTCCAGATAAGATAAGGAAGGAGGTCTGGGTAGGGCAGTGGTTCTCAATTTTTGCTGGCCATTGCGGTTTTAAAAACTGCCAAGCTACACCCCATACCAATTAAATCAGAATCTCTGGGGGTTGGACCCAGGCATCAATGTTATTTAAAACTCTCCCAGATGATTCCAAAATGCAGCCAAGTTTGAGAATCAGAGGCGTAGGGTCAGGTAAGTGTATGATCTTGAGTAAAAAAACAGAAACCAGCCACCCACCCTGGGTTCTCCCCCACTCCCTAATGAAGGGGCTCAAGGAAAGTATGTCCCATTCGTGCCTCAGCTCCTTCCAAACCAGGGCAAGACTCTAAATCCTAAACTCAGGTTTAGGGTCTTAGGGCAGAAAGAACCCTGGACTGGAAGGCGGGCAGCCAAAGTTCTCCTGGGTCAGGTTCAGTCACTGTCCAGCCTTTGTGTGATTTCTCTTCCCAGAGGCTTAGTTCCCCGGAGAGAAGAATGAAGATAAAAAGCATTAGGGTCATCCCTGCGTTGCTCACAAGCCCTACCCCCACCTAAAATTTGGAGAACACTGGGTAGCATCAGATGTCCTGGGCTGCATGGCCTATTGCTCCCTTGCTGTCCCAGTTACGTTGGGGAAACAATACAGTGGGGAGGTGTAGATACAGGGTCACTCTGAGAACCATCTCCTCCTTCCAGGCCAAGCCCCTATCCCTCGTCAGCCCCTCCCCACCAGGGCTGGTTTCTGTTCTATGTAATGACTGACTGACTATAATCCTCACTCCTCTATCTGCCCTAACCCTCCATCCCATCTGTAGATCAGGTGGCAGGCGAGAGTCCTCTGCTGGCTCACGGGGTTGCAGGAGCTGGTGAATCCAAAATCTGCAGGTCAGGCAGTAGACCTGAGACTTCTGCAGGCTTGATCCCAAGAACTGGAAGTCAGGCAACCGGAAGAGTGCAGGGTTGAGAGAGAGCAAGAGAACTAGCTTTGATGGAACCTCCCGTTTGTATACTGGAGGCAGGCCACACCCCCCCCAAGGAAACTCCCCTTTCATCTGATTGGCTGATCACATCAGCTCAATGTAACAGAAAGCTATTACATTATATGACTAAGTTACGGAAGAGCACCTAGTCCAGTGTCTGCCAAACCACTGAGAATCATAGCCTAGCCAAGCTGACACATAACATTAACCATCACAGTAGACAAAGAAAAGTTGTGGCTGGAGCTGTGCCTTCAGCCTTTAGTTCCAGACCCCAAGGGTTAGAGTTCACGCTCCTCTGTTGTTAAAATATATAATTAAAGTTTGAGAAGCAGTTTTATTGACCCTACATGTGCCCAAACCCCAGGTTCTGGTTTCCTCAGACAAGAGTCAGGGCTCTGTGGTCAGCATGGTCAGGCGATGGTTGCTGTCACCCTGTCCTTCTGCCCTAGGCGGTAATGAACCTCAGGAAGTGCCCTTAGTCTCTCCGCAGCCTGGAAAGGGGGGAGGGAGTAGTCAGGAAGGATGAGGGTAGCCCAGAATGTATGTAGTTCTGAGTGCCCAGGAGACACTGGGGGAGGCCCTGAGGGATTGGGAGCCTCAGGATAAGGAATGTTGGAGTCACCAAGGGTAAAGGGGTTGAGCAGTTCCTGAGTCCCTAGGAATGCCCAGAATGTTATGGAGGTTCTCAGGGTC